GGTTCACCCATATATACTATAATCTTTCACTCACCCATCTCTGTCTGCCTGGCTGGGCAGGTTAACATCCATCCACAGCCAAGACTCATAGAACTTGGATCGCAGATACACTTGAGTCTCATCCAGGTACTCTTCCCACTCTTCCCCCTCTTCTTCCTCCTCCACTGCCCTTTGAAACAGCAGATCTCCTTCTTCTTCTCTTGCCCTGTTTGCATCTGTATAGGTCATCTGAGGTCGTTGTTCAACCCGTCCAGGTAGTCCATATAGTACAGGTTGTCCATGCTCGTGGTTCACACTTCTACTAGTCCAATCTACGTAAACACATTTACATATAATTAGTCTTATAAAATAACTCTAATATATCAACCTAGAAGCTGTTGTGCCCCTGGAGTTTCTTGTAAACAAACAACATATATGTTTACATTAGTGTTTCTAAACAAAACATATTGTGTTTATTCATGAGGTCTAAAAATGTGTTTCATTGTGAAACATTTGCAAAGCCATTTTATTGAAGTATTTGACATCCATGTTTACTAGCTTGCAGTCTTCCTTTTCCCTGCTTTTGCTGGTGTTTCCCGGGGCGTAAATCAGGGTAAAAGTGTGAATCCATTGCTAGTAATGCAAATTGCCTCACCCACACGTACACAAACCAGGACCCACACATAAAAACACAACTCCATAGTGCTTATTGGAGGTCAAATACTCTGTAAAGTACCTTTAATGAGCTACGTGGATGGAATTATTCAGATTTGTATCCATGCTAGTAGCATGGCTCTAGGGATGGTCTGTTCGGTTGGTATCAGTCGGTCACTTCATCACTTTTTCCTAAAGTCACCAGCAGGCTGACTTCCAACTACAACTACTTGATGGATTGCCATGGAATTTGGTTCAAACATTCATGTCCCCCTCATGATGTAATGATCTGACTTCTAACACGATCATCAGATTAATGTTAGCATGCTAACACATTAAATCTAACAAATTACAAACAGGGTAAACATCATAAACCAAAATTTCAAAGCAATGTGTCCAAGATATCCTGCTAACTAAAAATCAAAAACGATGGAAAGATGAGGTTGAGTAAAAAATAACTACCAAATGTATGCGGGGAGAGTGGAATGTGTCGCCCATGTGCTTTCTCTTCTATCGCAAAACGGAAGACGGTGATTGGGTGAGGTGTGGTGGTTGGGGGCGGTGTGGTCATGGGTGGTGGGGTGGTGGGAATCTCTGTGTCAAACACTTGATCCCTGTAAGTGGAGCAGCAATAGCGGAAGGCGCGCATACACTCCCAGCCCTCTGTGATGTAGAAGGAGCGTCTAGTACAGGAGTACGGCATGGGGATCTCCCTGAGGCCGTCCTTACAGCAGCGATGCTGGAGCTTCTCCTTGTAATGACTCTCTGGAGACAGAAGGGATAAGAGAGGGAACCAGCAGAGTCAGCAGTACTAGTAATGAGTGAAAGACATTGAGCCAGAGAGCCACAGCAGTTCCAGATGCGTTCAGTCACTGTTCGTCTGGATGAAAAACTTCTTAGATTTCAATGACAGGGATTGTCTTTCAGCGTCTCCTGGAAAATGCTGGTTACCTTAGTCTATAATCAAATGTTTTAATTGCATATTTTTACATTTTTAAAGGTACTGTGTAACATTTAGGAGGATCTATTGGCAGAAATTGAATATTATATAGGTATGTTATCATTAGTGTATCGTATCACCTGTATAAAGGAATTGTTGTTTTTGTTACGCAGATACTCCTACACACTTTACTGCACGTTCTCATTCTGAGGTCGTCCAATACAGACATGAGGGGTGTTCAGTTTATTGCAATCTACTATTTCACCACTAGATGGCACTAAATCTTACACACTGGTCCTTTAATACATAAAACAATTGCACATTTCGATTTTCACGTTTGCTGTGTCTTCGACCTACACTGAGTCATTTAAATGTCGATTTACAATGCAGTAATGACAATAATTATTGTTACTAATAATAATTAAGCTGTAAGGGTTTTGTTTTGGTAACACCTTTGACTAAACTGTATAAATGTAAAAACTGTTGTATTACAATATTACTTTGTTAATAAAGTTTAAAAAAGGCAGCTGTTTTCTGTAAAACAAGCTCTATTTGTTGTGACTGATCGCTACAGTACCTACCCAGCATCAAACACCAGACAAAGTTAGTGACTAGCTGGTGAAGAGAGATGGAATTTAGCAGCTAAAAAAGCCAGATATTTTTCTGTTAGTGGAGATAATCAACAATCAGATGTGCTCCCTTCCACCTGTTCCCAGCTACAGAAAACCCTCATTGATACTCACCCAGTTGGGCTCTACGCTTCAACAGTTCAGCAGAGCGCCTCCTTCTGGCACTGCCTGGACACTGCAGGGCTAAGGAGAGATGAAGATAGTGTGTTTCTCTTATGTACAATCTTTTTACAAATATGCAATTTTGCATTAGTCAACCACTTGTAGTTATTAGGATTATTGTCATTTTTGGTAAAGGAAGTAGTACTAATAGCAGTTTTTGGGGGTTTTATCTATTTATCCATTCATTCATCATCTGCTCATCTGGGGTCGTGCTGCAGTGGCAAGCCAGGCAAGCCAGGCACTACAGACGCCACACTCTCAAGTAACACTGTCCAGCTCCTTCTGGGGGATTCCAAAGTTTTCCCAGAGCAGGTGAGATATATAATCCCTCCAGCGAGTTCAGGATCCCGACGTCTCCTTGCAGTTAGACATGCATGGGAAAGGCCTCCAGGAGGAATCGACGCAAAGGAGCCGTGGCTCTACTCCAAGTTCCCTCCAAATGTCTGAGCTCTTCAAAGCATCTCTAAGGCTGAGCCCAGCCTCATTTCAGCTGTTTGTATTTGGAATCTCCTTCTTTTGGTCACTCACGAGCTCATCGCCATAGATGATGGCTAGAACATTGATCGGCTGGTAAATCGAGAGCTTTGCTTTACGGCTCAGCTCCCTCTTCACCACAACAGTCCAGGACAAAGCCTGCATCACTGGTGAACGTTGCACAAATCCGCCTGCCCACTTCATTTTACCATCACTCGCTTAAATGTCACTTAAACCTCAGACTTCGAGGTGCTGACTCTCATCCAGGCTGCTTCAGACTCAGCTGCAAACCACCATAGTGCGTTCTGGAGGTCACAGTCTGATTAAGCCAATAGAACCATGTCATCTGCAAAAAGCAGAGACGAAATTCCACTTTTATCTCAGCCCGACTGTGCCTTGAGATTCTGCCTATGAACAGCCCTGCTACTCCATACTCCCTCAGTATCCCCTCAGTACCCTCACAGGATTCCCCGGGGGACACGGTTGTAAGCCTTCTCCAAGTCCACCAAACCACATGAACTGGATGATCAGACTCCCATGATACTGAAGAGGTGTATCAGCCAAGACATCCCAACAATGTCGGGAGCCTTCAGCATCAAAAACTATGATGAAACTGTCTCTCATGAGGACCGCCCAAGTAAAGGAAGCCCAAAATCTGCTGATCTTGATGATGAGTTCATTACAGTTACCAGCCTCAGAAATTGCCCCACTGGCACCTCAGAGCAGAGCCCACATAATGTTTCACTTCAAGTAGAAGACACATTTCAACATCAACTGCACAGACGAGACTGTGTGAATCATGCCTTCATGGTCACATTACTGCAAAGACACCATTACTGAGGGGGGCCAACAAGCAGAAGAGATTTGTTTGGGCCAAGAAACACAAGGAATGGACATTAGACCAGTGGAAATCTGTGCTTTGGTCTGATGAGTCCAAATTTGAGATCTTTGTACCAACAGGTGTGTCTTTGTGAGACGCTGAGATGGTTCCCACCGTGAAGCATGGAGGAGGAGGTGTGATGGTGTGGGGGTGCTTTGCTGGTGACACTGTTGGGGATTTATTCAAAATTGGGATGAGTTCAACCACAGAATGAAGGAAAGGAAGCCAGTAAGTGCTCAGCATATATGGAAACTTCTTCAAGACTGTTGAGAACCATTCAAAGTGACTACTTCAAGAAGCTGGTTAATAGAATGCAACTTTCAAGAATCTAAAATATAAAACATGTTTTGCTTTTTCTTTATACAGCTTTTTTGTTTACCAGACAAATGTGTTATTTCATAGTTTTCATGTCTTCAGTTTTAATCTACAATGTGGTAAATTAAAAAAAAGAAAAAAGAAAAACGAATAACAGTATCAGTCAACAAGAGATGAGAAAGACAAAAACGCAACACAAAGGCTAAGCAAGGCAGCTGCTCCATGCCCCTTGCAGGTACCTTGTCTGGTTTGGGTTCTAAACCCAGCACTGGAGGCGTAGAGCAATCCTGCATCTGAGAACACTGCTGTGGCATCTCTGCCACCCCCTCGAGTGCAGCCAATGTCTCCATGCTCCACAACGTCCCAGATCTGTGGAAAAGGTCCCATTGAGGACAAGGTGACATGAGGTTTTTGCAGCCGTTTTAAAGTTTCAGTATAGCACATATATTATTATTAATTTTTTGAGGGGTCTTTTATTGCCTTTAATCAATATTTACAGCTTAAGAGTGATAGGAAAGGGGTGGGGGGAGAGATAGGAGCAAAGGGCCACAGGTTGGAGTTCAACCCATGGCCACTGCAGCAAAGACCTATCCAGGCGCCTCTCAGTATAGCACAAAACAAAAACACTGATGATGCTTGTTAGCAGCATATCCTGTTGGCTTGTATACCATTATGTCAGTTAAAAACGAACAATTATCATATATATTTGCAAATGATAGACAAACAACAAACAAATTAAGCAACTATGATTATTTTTGCGTATAAAAACATGTGGGAGCAAAATGAAAAATTTGCGCTCCTGTCATATCTTTAACTATCTGTTACTATAACTATCTGTCTTAATTGGTGAAAAAGAAATGAGAGAATATCAACACAATCTCATCGTCAAATACAATCATAAACACACACACCTTCCTCTGTGTAAGTCTGTCCCTGTTGAGCAGATACACAGCGTTGTCCACAGCCACCAGGCTGACCTTTGCCCCAGGATCACCTCTGACCTTAAAATGAAAGCTCCTCCCAGGGGTGTAGTCACGATGTATGCTGTCCACCGGGCCGACTGTCAGCTGTAAGAGAATTAGTACATCGACACAAAGATGAACAAAAGCCTGAAGAACAGAACAAATAGTCTCGGCCACATTCAACACTATGATGCAAACAACAAATGAAAAAAATTGGATCACAGGAGTAAATCAGAATTTAAGAACAGGGCAATCATTATTCTATATTTTTCTTATTGTCAATACAAATAGTATTACAATATTTTCTGACATCCCAACCCTGTCTGTGGCACCCAGACCAAACCCATCGATTCCTACTGAAATAATATGTCTTTAAAACAGGTCACAATTATATAGTTTTGTATTTTAAAAAGGCTTAGTAATTTTCCAAAACTTCTGGACACTAGTTTTTACCAAACATTACTCAAACAAGATAAAAACACAATAGTGTATTTGTTGGGGACTATTTTCAGATGTGGATTAACGCATATTTGGTGCTCTATTGAGTATTTGGGCCAGCAGAAGGGTGTGTGTATGTGTTCTTGGTCACTCTAGAACTCTTTCATGGGATTTGTTAAAACTATAGAAAAATAATTTTAAGGCACTTTTTTCACATTGACAGACACACACAGAGACTTGCTGAAACCTTTCAGTTATGGAACCAGCTCTGTAAGCTACTCTAGTGACCTCTGAGAATGAGTTGATCTCACCCCTCCAACACAGGAATCTTCCACATCCACCCATATGGAATCTGGCACCACCTCCTCGCGCCCCTCCCAGGGAATAGTGTAGAAGGCCACAAAGCGGAACGACGGCATCATCTCCGGGGTGACCGTCAGTCCAATGTGGGTGACCAGCTGACTGTTCACATTCTCACACTTAGCAACAACAATTTTTCCTTTATTTACAACCTGAGAGAGTTTGGGGGTAAAAGTCAAGTTAATGTCTTTGTTGTGTCACTTGCTTCTTGTTCTACTTCCAAGTGTATGGGAAATGTGACGATGTGTTATTGTCTCACCAGGTAGGTGATCTGTTTAATTAGGTCTCTGTGTGTCTGGTCTGCAGCAGCGGTGGTCAGCTTCAGGGACAGTCCGTCTCCTACAGACACCCTGTTGGTTCCTGTAGATATGTAGAGGTAGTTCCGCTGGCGCTGGTTAAAGGTGACGTATGGCTGAACAGTGATCTGTTGTTTGGCCTGCTGCTCCGGTCTCAGGTTAGCCTGTGTGGTCTCAGCCTGGGAAACAAATCAACGTTTGTGGCAGTTTTGTCTTTACAATCCAATTATAAATGTCCTGTTGTCCAACAGCCTCGTGGATAACATAAAGACATAAAGCCCAGACAGCAAAAATACAAACACACAGAAATCCAGAATAATATACATCTCAAAGTACGAAAGATTTTTTTTAATGCCTTAAATCACAAAATCATATATAAAATTATATATTTAAAGGGTCTATGACAAGGATGTCCATATTTACCAATTACTATTGACATTGTAATGTATTCTGAAGACGCTTATATTTCCGGCTTTTACAACTTTGTACCTTTTATTTTAGAATTTAGGCAAATAAAGTATACTGTATAAAGCAGTGCACTCTTTTCAACAGATAAGGTGCCATACATTAGTAAAAAGTTAACTTATCACAACATTTGTTGGTTTTAAAGCTGGTGGGTAAAAGCTGTCTAAAAAGAATATGTAGTCATACTAACAGTGATAGTTTGTAGAGAGAGTTGATCTCTGGGCATGTTGATGGTAACTCTGGCGGTGCCGGAGGAGACGACCGTTGGACTGTCCAGCAGATTCACCTTCACCAGTACATTATGGGCCGGGGAACCATCATGGTGACTCACCTGGATCTGGACAGGTTGGGGAAAATTTTTCTGTGATTTTATAGATTTAACAGTTTTTCAGTCACAGCGAGCTGAAGGACACTCTAAGACACAGAAGATCGAGGTTTTGGCGGGCTCTCTTTATCTTCAGCTGTCACTATAATAAAGGCACTAAAAGCCCCAAAAAATATACTTAAAAAAAAAAAGATCCAGGTTGTGGTATTCATTTTACTGGACAAAAAAAAGAAAACAGAGAAAATATCTAGGTTTAGTAGATAGATTGAGAAGACAGAGGGTGGTCCTTACTGTAAAGTCGAGGGGCAGGCCTGGTTTGAAGTACTTTGGTATGTCTTTGAAGGATACAACATAGGGAGACTCCACAATTTGAATTCCAGTCTTCTCTGCTTCAACCAAATCACTACCTGCAGAGGAGTAAATCTGGGTTAATCAGCAGTAAATCACTTCCAATAACAACAAAGCTGAATAATTTCATGAAATTTTTCACTGATTATACTATGTCACTCTATAAACAATTTTTTTTTTCTTTACAGTACCTGAAGGGAAACAGATTATCTTAAAGGGTAAAAACTAATAGTTTTAATCCAATGGCTGGTGTTGTTATATATTGCAGAAAATGAACAGGACTGCTGCTTTCTAAAATCACTCCTCACAGTTTCAAACTCATTGCAGTTTTGTGCAGTGTCCCACATTTCCCAAAAGTGGAGACATAGCGAAGAGTCATACATTTTTTGATGACTTGAGTTTGTCTAGAGGGATAAAGGTCATATTGATACCATTGATCTGCGCTGTACAGGGTAAAAAACAAACTGTGGTCTGATTACAACATTTTGAGGAGTTTGGTCTTTCTAGGTTGTGGTACAAGGAACAAAGCAAACACAACATCCCACATTACCCTTGTGCACACTTTACATTACCGACCCTACTGACATTCACATCCCACACTTTGTGATCTTTTGTTATGCTTATATTTCAGTTATTTTTTTGTTGAATTAATTACTTTGAAAAGATGTGTCTCTTCTTTTATAATAAAATAATTTGTCATTTGTTTCTTACCTGATTTGGTGAGCACGGAGGCCTTGACATACACAGAGTGGCCCACCAAAGATCTGATGTCTGGGTAAGCTCTCTTGAGCTCCTCCATGCTCAGTCTAACGACTCCTCCATCCAGCTGCAGGAACACAGAGAGTGCTTTACAAAACATTTGTCAGAAATAAAGGCTATTTTGCTGTTATGTTCACTGTTATGAACCTTAAATAATTAGCAACTAATATTTCCAATTTTGACAAAACAATGTTAGCTTATGTTCCATTTACAAGCTAAAACTCCAGTTTGCTCAGTGAACCAGCTGATACTGATATATTATATAATATTATATAATAAAAACACCTTATCCACTGAGGAAGGCTGTGATGTGTGGTTGAAAGCTCTATAAAAAGAAATTAAGTAGACTTTTTTAAATTTCAAAAATAACAATTCACCTGTAATTGTTTTAATTTGAAATTGAGCTAAACAGTAGTTCTATGCAGCTTTTAGCCTATTTCAGGTCACACAGTTGCACATGGATTGCATGGTTGAGTCTCATGGTTCTCATCTACTATCCATATAAAAGCGACAGGAAACAATTTCCAGCAAACAAGGTCAAAGTGCCGATCTGCACTGAACCAAACAGAAAACATATGTGACAGTGTAAATCAGCGCTGAATTTGGGGATGGAGCAGTGACTTACATGTGACACCTGCTTCACTGAAGGCAACCTTATCCTCTCTTGATTGATTTTCACTCCAAACACCACATAGGCCGTCCCCTGGACTGGCTCCCCATACAGGTAACTGAAACACAATTACTACAACGGTAAGTTAAAAATGAGCCGATTTCATTCGTGTTTCTCTAATGTACTAGGAATGGTAAATGGTAAATGGACTGTACTTGTATAGCGCCTTTCTAGTCTTCCGACCACTCAAAGCGCTTTTACATTACGTGCCACATTCACCCTTTCACACACATTCACACAGCGATGGCAAAGTCATCGAACAGAAACTAACTCATTCACCTGGATCTAGTTTAGGGTTAGGACATGGTTTTAGAGTTAAGGTCAGGATTAGGTAATTAGGTTTAGGTTAAACTGAATACAGGATTGGTGCGGGGTAGCAAGTTAATAGTCAACAGAAAAAAAGAGTTCAATCAATAGTAGTGTGGGTTAAAGTTCACTTTAGGAGGATATTGAATGAATATGGGCAAAGGACGTATAATAAATTGCAGTGGCATAACCGACCTGGCCGAGATCTCTAAAACCAGTTCGCTGTCATCAAGGTTGAGAAAGGACTTCCTGGGCGTCAAGGTAACATTGAATGCAGGAAGCACTGAAACACAACACACCATTAAAATATAGTGGGCTCCAATGTCTTTTCCAAAATGTTTAAAAAATGTGATGTAATTATTAGTGACGGAAAATTGCAACTGATTTTATTAGCAAAAAATAAGCAAGTTTAATTTGACCTACCATATTTCTTCACCTCGAACTTGGAGGTGAATGTGTTCTGCTCCCAGTGGTCAAACTTTGCAGTCACCGTCCATGTTCCTTCACTGCCGTAGACAAACATATCAGAGATAGTACATAAAGCAGAGGGAAACATTTTCGGGGTTTTAGGTGTTACATGTATAATTTGACAAGGCTCAGAGTCTATAGCCATGCAAGCGGGGTCTTGGTCCACAGTAAATATATATATATATATATATATATATATATATATATATATAGATATAGATATAGATATATATTTAATGCAAGTCTACATCCAATAGATGTTGGGACATTTCACTCAAAATCATAAATGTGTATCACATGGTGGCACTAAAGGAAAAGTCAGGGGACCCCAAAGTAAAGTGGATCAATCGTCTGGGAATCATGAGTGTCTGTCTTAGATTTTGTGCCAATTTATCTCGTAGATGTAAAATATTTTCATGTATAAGTGAAAACTTTAACCTGCTAGTGGTGTACTACAGGACCACCAAAAGTCAGCAAGATTTACCCTCAGATGACACTTGAATCTCTTGATCAGTATGAAATTGCAAAGAAGGTTCATCAAAACAGTTGAGACATTTCCGTCTGGACCAAACTTGTGGATTAGCTGAAGCCGACCAACAATGCCATCCCAAGAATGTATCCCAAATTTTGAACTGAATTTCGAGAAAATCGGGAAAAGAAAATTCTTGTTTTAATCCACTACTGTTGTGCAATTATTAGGGGTTGGT